CTCTACCACTGAGCCATCTTCCCAGCCCATGAATGCTGTTTTTCTGTGCACCAGGGAAAGTCCTTTTTTCTTCTCTTTTCTTTTTTTTTTTTTTTTGCTTTTATTTTCTGGTGATACTTTTTTTTTCTGATGCTGGGGACTCATGCATAATAATCACATTCTCATATCTAGCCCCTATAACTGTTTTGAATTGGAAATTCTTTTTAAAATGTCTTTAATGCCAGGTGCTAGTGGCTCATGCCTGTAGCTGCTCAGGTGACTTAGATCAGAAGATCATAGTTCAGAGCCATCCCAGGCAGGAAAGTCCTTGAGACTTTTCTCTCCAATTAACCACCAAAAAACTGGAAATGGAGCTGGGATTCAAGTGGTAGAATGCTAGTCTTAGCCACAGAAGCTTAGGGACAGATCCTAGCTCCTGAGTTCAAGCCCTAATACCCGAGTACCAGCACACACACACACACACACACACACACACACACACTTCTTTGAAAAGAGCTGGGTTCCTTTGATAAATATTAACCCTACCTACTTGAGAGGGTAAGATTGGATGGGTCACAGTTCAAGGTCAACCCAGGCAGAAAAGTTCCATGAGTCCCCATCCCAACAGATGGCTGAGTGCAGTGGTGTGTACTTGTTATCCTAGCTATCCTAACCCTAAAGTGAGCAGATCGAAGTCCTGTCATGCACATGGGCAGCAAGAGAGACCCTATCTTAAAAGCAACAGCACAGGAAGATTGCAGTTCAAGGCCAACCTAGGCAGAAAAGTTTGAGAGATTCTGTCTTAACCTCTGGCTGCTCATAGTGGCACAGGCCTGTTATCCCTAGTGATACAGGGAAATGCAAGTAGGAAAAGCACAGGCTAGGCTGGCTTGGGCATAAAGTGATACCCTACCTTAAAAATAACTATCCAAAAAAGGGCTGGAGGTTTGGCTCAAGTGGTAGAGTTCCTGCTTAGCAAGCAGGAGGCCTTGAGTTCAACCCCCTGGACTACCAAAAGAAAATTATTTCAAAGGAGCCTGAATGAATTTGCAAAGTGATTTCTGTGTCCTAAGTGTCTGTGAGTCTCTCTATAGTTAATAGCCATCATTACTTTAATAGTTTTGTTTCACAGGTTCTATTTCCCATTATCTTCTTGACAATACTTCAGTGCTACAGTAACTTGACAGGTAGCAAACACAGCATTTTTCCATGCATAACATATTTAATAATATTAGGTCTGTTAATGTGCCACATGTGTCTGTGCTATGCATATAGAAGTATCTTTCTCTGTAAATATGGGTAGAATTACAATTAGTTCTTTTCACCTTGTGCTTAGTGTATATGCACATTAGTAATCGATAGTTTTCAGAATCTTCTATTGAAAAGTACTGATTTTAAAAACAATTATTAGAGTAATGTATTGGCTGCAGATTGCAGCATCTGATTGATGAAATAATTGCAGTCTAGAAGAAGTGAATAAATTGCAATTTGCTTTTTAACTGGTATGGAACCTTCTGTCTAAACTTAAACTTCTAATTACTGGGGTATAGTGGAAAGAATAGGCTGGGTCCAGAGAACCTGGGGACTGGGCTTGGCTCCACTTCTAACAATATTTGTGACCTTCAGACAGGTCACTTTACCTTTTGGGACATGGATTTTCACATCTGTAAAATGGGGTATTGGATTAAATGATTTCTTTTTTTCTTTTTTGGTTGATTGTGGGGCCTGAACTCTGGGCTGAACACAGTCCCTCAGCTCTTCAGCAAGTCTACCACTTGAGCCATAGTGCTACTTCTGGCTTTTTTCTGCTTATGTGGTGCTGAGGAATCAAATCCAGAGCCTTATGCATGCAAGGCAAGCACTCTATCACTGAGCCAACTTCTCAGCCCGATTTTTTTTTAATATATATATTTTATTGTCTTATAAAGATGCGGTATAGAGGAGTTACAATTACATCAGTCAGGTGATTTCTTCTACATTTCTTGTCAAGCATTGTTACCCCCTCATTTGTTTTTCTACTATTATCCCTTCCCTCCCACACCTCCCCTCCAAAGTTGTAAAGTTCATTTCCAACATAGTATCCTGTGAATATCATTGTTGCAATGGGTCATCCAGTTCTAGCCTTCTCCAGTTCTGGAGATACAGAGATGGGGTTGAGAGCGCCACCTAATGGAGGTAAAAATGCAGCTAGTTCTCAAGTACAGTAAGGGTGGGCATTTTATTTTTATTTTTTTATTGTTTTTGTCGATCGTGGGGCTTGAATTCTGGGCCTGGGTGCTGTCCCTCAGCTCTTCAGCTCAAGGCTAGCGCTCTACCACTTGAGCCACAGCACCACTTCCAGCTTTTTCTGCTTTTGTGGTGCTGAGGAATTGAACCCAGGGCCTCATGCATACAAGGCAAGCTCTCTACCACT